AGTGTGATGTGGGAAGAAGCCAGTAACAGGATTTCATAAGAGATAAGATAGCTTGCGGACAGGTGTCAGGTGTGATGGGAATGTAATAAAGCTTCCATTGCCCGAGGAACATCAGTGCAGAGGAAGAGCCCATGACGATTTCTTCTGTGGATGTGGTAAGAGCTGCTGTGGCTGCAATGGCTCTCCTGCAAGGAGAATGTCCTTTGGCTACTGGGTCTAATGAGGCTGTAATGGCCATGCTCAGGAAAAGCAATATGCTTGTTACAAATTCAAGTTAGCTGATCAAGTAGACCCCCAAGAGAACTCTGAAGGGAAGAATAGATTTTTGTTAGTCCTCTAAAATAATTTTACTAATTATATACATAATACACAATTACCTTGTCCTCATTAAAAGGAATTACAGCCCTAGCCGGTTTGGCTCAGTGGATAGAGTGTCGGCCTGGGGACCAAAGGGTCTTGAGTTCGATTCTGGTCAAGGGCACGTACCTTGGTTGCAGGCTCCTTTCCAGCCTGGACCCTGGTTGGGGCGCGTGCAGGAGGCAACCAATCGATGTGTTTCTCTCAATCAATATTTCTCTCTGTCTTTCCCTCTCTCTTCCACTCTCCCTAAAAATCAATGGAGGATTAACAACAACAAAACAATCCTATATAATAAAAGGCTAATATGCAAATCAACCAAAAGGCAGAACGTCTGGTTGCTATGATGTGCACTGACCACCAGGGGGCAGATGCTCAATGCAGGAACTGCCCCCCGTAGTCAGTGCACTCTCACAGGAGGAGCGCCACTCAGCCAGAAGCTGGGCTCACTGCTAGCAAGTGCACCGGCGATGGCAGGAGCCTCTCCCACTTTCGTGGCAGCACTAAGGATGTCCAACTGACGGCTTAGGCCCACAGGGAGGACCTAGGCCGTCAGTCAGACATCCCCTGAGGACTCCCAGACTGCAAGAGTGCGCAGGCTGAACTTAGGGGACCCTCCCCCCACCAAGTGCACGATTTTCGTGCACTGGGCCTCTAGTTACATATAAAAGTAAGGTCACATTCACTCCTTCCCCACTCTTATCAATTTGGGCTTTATCTTTTCAGACCACTTTCTATATATTTAAGTGCACATATATACTTGCAGAAAACATGCAGTGTTTCTGTTTTGTTTCATGCTGTTGTTCTGTTTTACGTAAAGGAGACCTGGAATGGCTTGCTCTGCCATGTGTCTAGGGGAGCATCCATATGAGTTCATGTTGACTTACCTCATTTTCCCTCCACCTCATCCTTTTCAACTATTGCAGACTCTTTGATAAATGGCTGTTTCATAATTTAAGAAGCCATTTTCCTATTGGTGGATGTCTATATTGTGTTTAATTATTTACTTTTTTACTCCATTATGCCTTAACCATTCTTGGACACATCTCCGAGTGCATGTGTGCAAGATTCCTAGGATGGATAATGATCTGTGGTGTTTCTGGGTCACCTGGCTTCTAGGATGTTACCAGAGATTGCCCAATTTTCTCCAAAGCAGCCAGACTACTTTCCCATCCAACTGCAGTGTGCGAGGTCCTCATTTCCGCACGTTCTTGATGGTGTGTTCTTGCAAGTAAAGCTGCATTTCTTCACTGAAATTCTTCTAGTCACAATTTTTTACTGATTTGTACCAAATACCCCCCAAGGAGGTTTGATGATTCTTTTAATTCACGCTGGTGATGTTGGTAGAGCACCCAAGTAATTCGCAAGCACTCCTTTGCTTTGGCCTTTAGATATGATTTGTGAGCAGTATTGATTTGCACTCAAAGGGAGACGCTGTCTAACATATGCCTCTGCTGAGAGAAGAGCAGCTAGCTCATTCACAATTCTAGGCCTGGGCTGACAGGCCAAGGGCTTATGCAAGGAAAGGTGTTTACAAGAAGGGCAAGTGTTTGCATGTCTGTCGATATTTTCACATGTCCTGCATTTCCACATTTTGTGGTGACAAGCCCTTCTTCCCTAGTTTCTGAGCTCTGCAGTGTCAGCCCCACACCTTCCACGGAGGAATGATTCGAAGAACTTCATTAAGCTGTTATTTATGGGGCCTTGGGCTTTGCACTTTTCTTTAATCTTTACACCTCTCCATTCTTATGTTACCTAGTAATTTTACAGAATAGAAAACTGAGGTTCAGACGTTAAATAGTTCACCTAAGGTGAAATTAGGATGGAAACCCAAGCCTGCCAGGCTCTACATCTTTATGATCTGTTTTAACGTAGGCAAAGTTAAGCAGAAAATGAGACAATCGTGATATGGGACGACAGCGATGGTAGAAACACTGTATCAGGGACAAATATGGGAAGCATGTGAGAGCTAATAATGAAACAAATTCATGTATAATGTAGAGTTCTTTACAGTTTATAACAAATTACATGTGCAGTATAATATAGTGGTTAAGATGGCCGGGCTTCAAATCATGGCTCTGCCACTTGCTAGCCATGTGACTTTGGGAAAGTTACTTAACCTCTCTGTGCCTTAGTCTTCTCATCTACAAAGCAGAAATTAAAAAATAACTCATATTTCATTGGGTTGTTGTAATGATTAATAAGATAGTGTTTGTGAAGCAATTAGAATTGTGCCTGTACATAGTAAACACCATAGGAGTTTGTCATTACTATCTTTATTATTGTATTTGGTCTTCATTGCTGTTATTCCCATTTTACTGGTGAGGAAAAGGAAACTAGGGAAGTGAAGCAACTAACCCAAGATCATGGAGTCAGTCAGTGACAGACCTGGACTGGAATCTGGGTCTCTGCCTTCCTGTGCGGGGATTTTCCACTCCTAGCACTGCCTCCCAACTTTACTAAATACAAGCAGAGGGGTCATTGCAGGCTTGGAATGTCTGTGCAAGAAAAGGCGGAGCCAGACACAATTCATGCTCTTTTCTTCCTGAGAATCAAAGAAGGATCTGTTGAGAAAGAATTTCAGGAACTTGAGTGCAGCATGTAACACATTCCACAACAATTCAGTCCAATTTCGTTTCATGAATTTTTACTAACATGTGAATCTACCTTTTCAATCTATTTGTCTTCCCCTTCATCCCAGTCCCAGCCATCACCATCACCATCACCATCACCATCACCATCACCATCACCATCACCTGTCTTTGGACATCTAGAGGGGCCTCCTACCTGGCATTCCACCTTTAACCCATTCTCCCCACTATAGCCAAATACATATTTCTAAAATAGACCTGATCATGTCAGTTCCGATTAAAATCCTTCCATGGCTCCCCATGGCTCTAAGGCTTTGGAATAAAACTCTTTCACATGCCCTGTGAGGTTGTCCAAAGCTGAGACTTCCTTCTGCTTCTGGCCTCATGGCTCAAGCCCTGTGCTCCTATTAGATCGCACTTCCTTCAGTTCCTCTGATCCGAGCTTCGGTGTTGGATACACAGTCCCTTTTGCTTTGAGCTTTCTCAGTCTGGACAAGTCCTACACATCCCTTAAGCTTCTGCTTAGAACTCGGATCATCCGGGAAGCCTTTTTGCATTAAAAAAAAAATAGATTATAAATATACATATATACATTTTTATTGATTTCTGAGAGGAAGGGAGAGGGACAGAGAGATAGAAACATCAATGATGAGAGAGAATCATTGATTGGCTGCCTTCTGCATACCCTACACTGGATATTGAGCCCGTAACCTGGGCATATGCCTTGATCAGGAATTGAACCGTGACCTCCTGGTTCTTAGGTTAATGCTCAACTACTGAACCACCGCTGGGCTCTTTTTGCATTTTTCACTCCACTTTTTCTTACAGCATCCTGTGCCTCCTCCTTGACAGCATTTGTCATGGAGTATTATTGTAATTGCTGTGTCCTTGCCTGTGTCCCACTAGAATCTGGGCTTCCTGAGGGCAGCTGCTATGTCTCCTTGCTTTAGTGTTACATCTGGCACCAGCACAGGCCTGAAATGAGAGTTCTTTACACATCCTATATAATAAAAGACTAATATGCAAATGACCAAATGGTGGAATGACGGGTCACTACTATGCGCACTGACCACCAGGGGGCAGACACTCAATGCAGGAGCTGCCCCCTGGTGGTCAGTGTGCTCCCACAGGGGGACGCCGCTCAGCCAGAAGCTGGGTTCACGACTGTCGAGCACAGCGGCAGTGGTGGGAGCCTCTCCCACCTCCGTGGCAATGCTAAGGATGTCCGACTGATGGCTTAGGCCCACTAAGCCATCAGTCAGACATCCCCCCAGGGCTCCCGGACTGCGAGAGGGTGCAGGCCAGGCTGAGGGAGCCCCGCCCCCAAGTGCACAAATTTCACCTGGCCTCTAGTCAAAGATAAATACAGATGTTAATTGAAACTGAAGAAGTGGGAGCTGTTGCCGAAGAGGAGCGGAGATGAGGGAGCAGAGGGGATTGCTGATGGAGTTAGCTTCCTGAGTAGGTGGGTGTGGAACAGGATGACCAACTGTCCTGGTATGCCGGGGACTGTCCCGGTTTTAAAACGGCAACTCCTGTGTCCCAGGAAGACCCTTACTTAGTCCGGGCAAACCTATGCTGGAATGAAGAGTACCTCTCCCTTGAATTATGAGGGACAGTAGAGGTCGAGAAGGGCAGGTTAAATCAACAAAGCAAATGGCTTTGGAACCAGGGAAAAGCTCTGCATCTGAGCTGTGTGATCTTGAACATAGTTAACCTCTCAGATTCAGTTTCCTGTACTTTGGGACAGTTAAACAAGAATGAGTCATGTGAAAACGCCTTCCCCAACTGCAGGCTCACAGCTAGAGTTAAAAGTGTTCGTGTCTATTCTTTCCTCACTTTTGCCGCTATTCTCACCTCTCACTCTCCCTTCATCTACCCTTTTTCATTTGTTCTCTGGACTCACTGGCTCCTGACTTGGAAGACCACCCGCCGCTAGGGGGAAGCGCGGAGCAAACAAGGATGGGCGCCTCTCTAGCCCTCCCAGGGGGAGCTCTCTATGGCGCCGACCCTCCACCTGCGCGGAGGGGGCGGGGCCCTGCCACGTGACCTGGATGCCGGGTGTCGGCGCAGCCGCGGCGGCCGCGTCGTCCACTCCGCGTCCCTTTCCGTGCACCTGAGCTGCTGCCCCGCGGTCCTGCGGCTGTTCCTCCCGCCGCTGCGGGCCGCGGGGCCGAGGCCATGTCCCGAAAGCAGGCGGCCAAGAGCCGGCCGGGCAGCGGCAGCCGGAAAGCCGAGGCCGAGCGCAAGCGGGACGAGCGGGCGGCGCGCCGGGCCCTGGCCAAGGAGCGGCGGAACCGGCCGGAGTCCGGCGGCGGCGGCGAGGAGGAGTTCGTGAGCTTCGCCAACCAGCTGCAGGCCCTGGGGCTGAAGCTGCGGGAGGTGCCGGGGGACGGGTGAGGCGGGCCCGGGAGCGCGGGAGGCGGCGCCGTGGGACGCCCCGGGCTTGGCGACCGTCGCCCGCTCTCGTCCACCCACTCATTCGGGCGGCCCGGGCGCCGGCCGCTCCCCGGGGCAGGGGTCCCGCGGCGGGCGAGGCGGCGAGGCCGCTCCCCGGAGGCCTCCGGTAATCCCCACCCCCCGCTCGTGGCGGAGGCCGTGGGGAGGCTGTCAGGCGGTCCAGATCGAATACCGGGGCAGGTCCCCTGTCGGTCGGTGCCCGGGAAGGCCTCTGAAAGGTGACATTTAAGCTGGTTCCTGCAGGGATGGGAGCGAGCAGCCGCCCGGAGAGCGGGCTCACCGACGGTCGGACGCATGGAGGCGTGGTCCCTGGTGCAGCACTGAGTCCTCACCTCCCCCTTTGGGGAAATTAGGTCTGTGAGCGCCCGTTGTCGCCGAAGCCAACTTCTCTAATTCTCCCATGGGCTTCAGTTTCTTCCCTGCAAGCGAAGCTTCCTTGGGGATCGGACTGGAGTCTAGGTCCAGCCTTTTTAGGGGACCCGGGCTAAATAAATGGGTAGGAGGGGAGAAGAAGGAAACACGGCTCAGGAAAGGGGGTGTGGAAGCAGGAGCATGGGTGGGAGAAGGAAAAGGGTAGGCAGGGAGAGGGCGGAGAACGGTTATAATGGATCCTGTTGATGGACTGGCTCCGATTTCCCTTCCCCGTGTTTCCTAGTGTTCTCAGTGCTTCAGGCTAATTGGGTTTAGTTTGATTACATTGTATTCACCACCACCTAGCGCAGTGCTCAGGACATAGAGGCATTCAGTGCATTTTTGGTGAACGAATGAATGAATAATAGCAGTAGCGAGGGAGGCCAGCTAGACCCTCAGCGGGGCCTCTCCTTACTGGAGTCACTACAGCTAAGGATTTGCTTTGCTGGGTCTTGCTTTTCACCTAGTACCTTGATTTTGGTCAGATACAAAGTTTTTAAAAATTTTTTTTTAACAATTCAGGGCCTTACTTATTTTAATCAAACTCACAAGCAAAAAGGCACTGCTATATACAGCCAGGTAACAGTTGAATACTTTACAGGGGGATTGGGGTGGGGCTCCTCCTTGCAAACGATTGGATTGCTTGTGTTTGCTCTACTGGGCATGGTATTCTCAATGTTAGGGTGCCAAGGAAACGGAAATACTCAACAGAAGGTTGCTTAGAAATCACACCACAGGGAGTTGTAAAATCTTGAAGGAGTTTCCTGATGCTATGGGAAACTTTGGTGGTGCTATCTCCCCCTCACCACCAACCACCAGAGAGGAAATACTTCAGTTAGTTCAGCAAACATCGGTTAAGCAAGGAGCTGGGAATACATTGATGACTGAGATAGTGGAGTTCATAGCCTCGTAAGAGAGAAACATAATAGCGGGTCTCAAACATTTTGGCCTTGGGACCTTTACACTCTTAAACATTACCGGGGACTCTAAAGAGCTTCTGTTTATGTGGTTACAGCTAGCAATATTTACTATATGTGAAAGTAAAAGAAAATTTTAAACCAAGAATACACAGACATTCCGTTGGCCGTCAGAGTGATACCCTCATTTATCAGATAGCCTCTGGAAAACTCCACTGTACACTTGCAAGAGACCGAGAGTGAAAAAGATAAATAACATCTTGGTTTTGAGCTCACGGAATCCCTGAAAGGGTCTCGGAGGTACTTTTCCCCACACCCTTAAACTGGGCCACACTATGAGAATGGATTATGTAAATAATTAAGATAAAGTTTGATGTATTCTTAATAGTAATTGATTATCGTGGCACTATTGAGAAGGAAGCGGCTAACACTCCCTGAAGTGGTCAGGGAGGCTTCATTCAGAAATTCTCTTTGAAACCTGTGCTCTGCTAGATGCCTCTCAGAGGAGGTCACGTACAGACCGGTCATGAAGGATCAATAGGAACGTGCCAAGAGAACTTTCCAGGCTGAGGAGTAATAACTGTAAAGGCACCAGCGATGGACAAGTTGTTTAGGATGACAGGAGTGTAGGATACAAGGGTAGAAGTCAGGGCCCATGAGGTGCCGAGGCCAGAGGTCAACTTGACTGGAATGCTTGTTTTCACCTCCAAGGTCTTTATTCTTTGGACAGTGTTAGGTAAAACGATAATTCCTCTTCTATGGGCTCCACGAGGCTAACAAATTCTTCCTGTGGGTACATGAGGTGGACTGGGTGTCTCCCCTCATTAGAATTATGCGTTTGGGGATGTGATAGGTTTTATCCCTGCAGTGGATGGTGTTTCCTTTGTATGTGACGGGCTGGCGGGTGTCAGCATATTCTTTTGCTAACATTTATTGAGTACTCGTTGGTGAAATATAATAAAGTTTTGGTAACATAAGAAATGGTTGACAGTCTTCACTCTTCGTCTTTCCATTCCAGTCGGATGACAACATTGAGCAGCCTGAGAGAGCATCTTGCTCTGGAGGCATGTTCATTGTTGATGGTGTGGTATTGAGGCACTCTGGAACCTCCGGGTCCTTGGGGATAAATTAGCTGGTATCCTCCGAGTCTCATGTTTCCGTTAGTTTAGTCAGTTTAGCAGAGATTAATTAGGGAGCTATTTATGGGGTTTTGTAATGCATCATGGGCCACCTTCAGATTTGTTATGTTGTTGGAAGGTGGACCCACATAAATTGGATTCAATTTCAAAACAAGAGAGACATTTTAACTTTGATGTTGTCCTGAAAAACATCATTGGCTATAGGGTGAAAAGAACCTCTAATTGGATTAGGCAGTCCAAACAACATTAGCGTCTCTCTGAGCTATATCCAGTTACATCTTACTAAATGTAACCTAAATTACATAACTAATTAGTAGTGTTCTAAAATTAAAACATTGAAGAATCACTAATTTAAGCCATTTATCTCCGTCCCAAAACAAGTTGTTTTATTTTTTATTTTGTTTTTAGAACTGTAGGATCTTGGTGATGGAAGGGCATTTACACGCCATCTTGCCTGTATATTAGTTACCTGCATCGCCGGTGCAGCAGCCTCAGTTTTTGTTTCGGGCACAGTGGTTGTCAGCCCTGGTGGCACAATGGAACCACCTGGGGAACTTTGGAAAAAATAAGTGTCTGGGCTCTCCCCTAGATCAGCAACACCAGAATCTCGGACAGTGCAGCCTGGTTACTGATGATTTTTGAAAAGGTCCACAGGTGATTCTTGCGTGCAGTCATAATTAAAAGCCACGTATTGATTAGAGTCTAGATCAGGGGTGGGCAAACTTTTTGACTCGAGGGCCACATTGGGTTCTTAAACTGGACCGGAGGGCCGGAACAAAAGCATGGATGGAGTGTTTGTGTGAACTAATATAAATTCAAAGTAAACATCATTACATAAAAGGGTACGGTCTTTTTTTTTTTTTTTTTTAGTTTTATTCATTTCAAACGGGCCATATCCGGCCCGTGGGCCGTAGTTTGCCCACGGCTGGTCTAGATTCTAGATGAGCCTTCTTTAGCCTAAACATTAGTCATTGTGTATGTTCTTCTTCTTATGCATTTTAAAACCACATCATTTTATCTGAACATGTCTCTTAAAATGCAGTAACTAGAATGGTACCCAATATTCTAGCTGATCTCAAAGAATGGATGGAACCTGTCCCCCTCCTTTTTCTGCACATGGGCTAGTATTACTGCAGCCTAGGAGCCCATTAATTTTTTTGATGTCTGTCTTACAATATGGCCCATGCTAAATTATCAAGCCCTTAAAACCCTTACTACTTTGTGTACTTGGTTGTTTTGTGAACTCAAATACAAGACCTTTATATATATACACGTATATATCCCTGTAGCACAGTCGTTCTTAAGTGGGGATGATTTTGGCCCCCGGGCGAACGTTTGGCAGTGTCTGGAGACATTTTTGTTTGTCACAACTGGCAGGGAGGAAGGTGATGGTGGTGGTGCTACTGGTTGGTAGAGGCCAAGGATACTCCTAATAAACATTCTGCAGTTAACAGGACAGCCCCCACAACAAAGAATTATCCCCAAATGTCAATAGTGTGGGGTTTAGAAGCCCTGCTGTGGTGTGTGGGTGAGGGTGTGGACTCAGGAAACGGTGGTATCTTCTGAGAGGTCCTTTGAGCAAGGACACTTTGTTCTCACCATGCTCGCACTGCGGGCTCCCTAAGGCAGTGATGGCGAACCTATGACACGCGTGTCAGAGGTGACATGCGAACTCATTTTTTTGGTTGATTTTTCTTTGTTAAATGGCATTTAAATATATAAAATAAATATCAAAAATATAAGTCTTTGTTTTACTATGGTTGCAAATATCAAAAAATTTCTATATGTGACACGGCACCAGAGTTAAGTTAGGGTTTTTCAAAATGCTGACACGCCATCACTGCCCTAAGGGAACTCAGTTGCCTGTAGTGATTGTTCACATTTCCTGTGTCCTCACCTTGCAGCTGTCAGAAAAGGAAGTGATTTGTCTATCTTGATTTTTCATTTTGACTGTTTTGAGTGATCTCAGGAAAGTTTGGTAAATATAGAAAAGTATATTAAAATAATATATAATTTAACATTTATTTCTAATTCTATTACCTAGGGGTAACTACAGCTGACATTTTGGTGGCTGGGTTTGAATTCTGATTCACTACATACCAGTTATGTGACCTTGAACAGGTTACCCTAGGGCAGCGGTTCTCAGCCTGTGGGTTTCGACCCCTTTGGGGGTCGAACGACCCTTTCACAGGGGTCACCTAAGTCCATCGGAAAACACATATATAATTACATATTGTTTTTGTGATTAATCACTATGCTTTAATTATGTTCAATTTGTAACAATGAAAATACATCCTGCATATCAGATACTTACATTATGATTCATAACAGTAGCAAAATTACAGTTATGAAGTAGCAATGAAAATAATTTTATGGTTGGGGGTCACCACAACATGAGGAACTGTATTAAAGGGTCGCGGCATTAGGAAGGTTGAGAACCACTGCCCTAGGGGGATAGTACCTAGCTCAGCGTTGTGAAGACTAAGCACTTCTAATACCTGTACAGTGTTTTCAGGAGTGCCTGGCACATTGTAAGAGATGTTTAATTTTCTTTGCATACATTTGTGTGTAGTGTGCAGATGAACACATTTGAGCTCATGCAATGTAGTTTTATACCTACTTTTTTGGCTTATATGGAGAACATGTGCCCATGTTACTAAAAGTACTTAGAAAGCATGTTACTTTTGTAAAACATTATGCATTTTGATATATTAAATATAAAAGAACTAAATACACAATTTTGAGCTAAGTGACACCTTTTAAGCTAGATTAAAGAATAGACCTAAAGGTTTAAGAAAAGTTTGAGAGAAAAGCTTAAAATTGAGAACGCTTTATTCATTAGCCTACTTCCCCCTCCCCCATGGTTGAACAAAGACTGCCATTGTTAGATTTCAGCAACAAGACACCTCATCTAGTATACAACTGCTGTATTCCAGCCCCTTCTAGAATCTTGCCTCAGATTGATGCAAAGCTTCTTGGTTTCCAGTTTATAGAATCTGTCATCTTGAAATATTTCCTCCCCCCCTTGCAAAAAAAAAAATAGTATGAATCCTTATACTTTTGAAGAGATGCCTGCCTCTGTATAACTTTCTATTGAAAGTTCATTTTTCTGAATTGAAAAACAAAAACTCCTTTCTCGTATGCATTTGCGTCTGAAAGTCCTTCTGGAAGTGGTAAGCTTATATTTTGGAATTAGAGTGTCGTGGGTTTTCATTTGGAAGAGGAAAACAGTTTGGTGTGAAACTGGGCAACTGTTTGGCTTCAGAATTTTTTATTTCCTTAGTTTTAAGGATACCAGATTGTGTTTGTTTCTGAGTATCTGGGCTCTGTGTTTGTGATATAGTTTGGAATTTTAGGAACCTTTGAGGGGTTTGAAAGTAATGATAAGTCTTAATAAAGTTTATTGCCAGCATTTTAATTTTAGAGACAAAATGAAGTGAAAATTGTGTTTAAAGTTTCCATTTAGCAGGACTAACAGGAGCATTGCGGCTCCCGGGGTGAGAAGTGAGCCCAGGAAGAGGGAAGTGTCATGGTGTAGTACGCCTATGCATTCATTGGCCAAGCACCTTTCATGGTTTCTCCACTGTGTTCTTTAGACTTAGACAGGATGCTGAGTTCAGTTGTTTGTGTTGGGAGTTTGACAAATTACTACCTTTTGGGGACTCTGTTAGGTGAATGACTAGTCAGCTGGGCAGCTATAGTGAAACTTGTTTCAGGAAAGAGGCAGTAGATACGCTTTATCATTTTGGAAGAGCATTTGGGAATCAGAGCCCTTGAGAAATGGCCTGTAGTGTCTGGACCCTGTCTTCAGGTGGTTAGTGTGTCACCAGCCTCACTTGTTGAAGCAGCTGAGGCCCAGGGATGTTTAATGACTTTCCTGAGTCGGCCAGCTGGTAACTAGGGAATAGAGTTCTTTTTTTTTTTTTTTTTAAATATATTTTATTGATTTTTTACAGAGAGGAAGAAGGGAGAGAGATAGAGAGTTAGAAACATCGATCAGCCGCCTCCTGCACATCTCCTACTGGGGATGTGCCCGCAACCAAGGTACATGCCCTTGACCGGAATCGAACCTGGGACCTTTCAGTCCGCAGGCCGACGCTCTATCCACTGAGCCAAACCGGTTTCGGCGGGAATAGAGTTCTTGTTTGTGCCTCTTATGGAGGTAATGTAGTTGGACATGTGCCCTAGTGCTCTCCCTCAGTATCTGGGAAGAATCATGGAGTGTCAGATTAAGGCCTTCTCTTGTCTCTGTGTGGAGGATTTCCATGGATGGCCTGGCATGAAGCATTGTTGTTTTCGATGAACCAAATTAATTTTTAAAAGGTTGTGACCAACATTTTTGTTTTGATAGTAATTGCCTGTTCAGAGCTCTTGGTGATCAGTTGGAGGGACACTCACGAAATCATCTCCAGCACCGACAAGAGACCGTAGACTACATGATCAAGCAGCGGGAAGATTTTGAACCCTTTGTAGAAGATGACATTCCCTTTGAGAAGCATGGTAGGTTCCCCGTGGGACACTGGATCCTCCAGGAATAATACATTGGGTAACTAAATCCATCAGCATCCCCCACCCTCCCAGCCAGGGATTTGGTTACATAAACCATGGCATGTATTCAACAAATATTATTTGTCTGCTCTGTGATAGGCAACATGCTAGGCAGTTGGGATTCAATAGGTTTAGATGAGTATGCCCTTAATAACAATGATGATTGATGTTTATTGACTTGAAAAGCTGTTCATGACTTCTTATTCAATTGGGGTGGCAGGGGAAGCAGGCTGTAAAATAGATTGGTCCTATTTTTAAAAGGTATACACACAGAGAAGCATACTAGAAAAATTCTAGGAAGATACTAACATTTTATGATTGTTTATTCTTGGCTCCACTTATTTTTTACTCCCTTTAAACTTCTGTAAAGGGGAGATAATAATAGCACCTATTATAGGCTTTTTTGATGAAGATTGAATGATATAATTAAATTAAGTTCTTAACTGTTTGTCATCTGGGGATGATGGGTCTGTGCATATTTTAAAGTATCTTCTATAGATATTTCAGATTGATCCTGTATTACTTTTTAACCAGAAAAATTAATAAAGTCATTTTAATTTCTCACCCAAACCCCAAACACAACCTGTTTTCTTTGAGGCAAATTATTTAGTGATTTTAATTAGTTCCTTATAGGCACAAATCTAGTGAGAAAGTACATAGGAACTTTTAAACTTTAATTTGACAATTATTTACTGAGGATGTTCTGTGCTAGGTGCTGATATATTTATGTTTTACAATAACATTTTTATCACAGAGTTCAGTCTTATCTGTCTCTTATCAGGAAAGAGAGAGAATATTCCCCGTGTGTTAGAGTGCTAACTCTGGGAACCATGTCAAGAAAGAACGGGGAGAGAGACTGAGAAGGGAGATGAGCTAGGAGCTCTCCGCATTGGCCGGATGAAAGAGTAAGAGGGTCTCCACCAAGGCAGCTGCTGGGGATGATGAGCGGGGTCCAGACCAAGATACAGCTGGTAGTATAATTGACAGGACTCACTGAGGGTGGAGAGGGGGGAGGCAAAAGTGATTCTGAAGATTCTGTCTGGGGAATGGCTAGGTAGAGGGCCATTGGCGTGGGGCGGGGGGTGGGGGGTGGAGCTATCAGTGATTCATAACTCAGAAGGGAAGAACTCATTCACTAGGCACAGCAACAAAACTCCCACTGAATAGTTGATAGTATTCACTGAGTTAATGGTCCCTCTCTCTGATCACTTTTTGTCTAGCACATAGGTACAGTTTACCAGATGGTCAGCAGTTTACAAATTAAATGCGGGCATGTTTTGTAGTTTACCTCAATAAAATGAATTTTGTCATTGGTCCAATTAAAGTATTTTTTATGAAGTGAGTTTTTAGTTTGTGACTTGAAATTCCACTCTGAACATCTTGAATGAAATGGTTGATTTGGAGGTATGACCGGGTAAGGGACTTGTGTCCAGTGTGGTAATCACTTTAGATGTACAATGGGCAGTTGTTTTCTTGAAATGTCACTGTGTGTTCCTGATCGCTGGTTGGTGCTTCATAAAGAATTTGAACTTTAAAGCGAGGAGTGGCTCTGACTGCCCTGGCAGACGTGGAAAGAAACCTAGATGTCTGCACATTATGTTTGTGTGCCAGGTGAAGACTAGGCTTATTACATTATCCCTCGTATCATAGTTACGCGTTTTTAACGTCTGTCTACCTTGTTTCACTGAGATTCTTGAGGGCAGGGACTGTGTCTCTTCCCCAACCTGGTAATGGTAGGCACTCCTAATATATTTGTTGAATAAATAAATGAACAGCTCACTTAACTTTTCAGGACCTGGTTACCCTGCATCTGGCTGTATCTTTTAGGATTATTCTTTTCCTTTAGACTGGCTTTGGAGAAGCAGCAACATGTTTTCTCCAGTTGTACAAATATCCAGATCACAATCCTCAATGTTCTTAATGCTCCTCTCCTTCCCTCCTCGTACCCAGTCATTCATTAAGTCTTGTTACCTCTACCTTGATATCTTTTCTCTCACTGCTACCATCTTGTAAAATCAGGCCTCTGTGGTCATTAGCCTAGATTTCTTCAATACTTTTTTAACTTGTCTCATTGCCACTTGACCCATTCAATTTGGGTTTTTTTTTGCAGCTGGAGTAGTGACCTAAAAATAAATCTTTCCCCTATCTACAACCCATTGGCTGCTCCCCATTGACCTCAGTCAGGATAAAGGCCAAACTCTTGAGCCCTTTGCTATCTGTGATTTTCTTACTTCTCTATTCTCACCTCCCACCCTGCTGTCTTAGCATTCTAAATTTCTGCAAAACTGTATAGTCCACAGACTCATGTATATACCCCACTCATCTCTCCTCTGCCTAGAACATCATTTCTCTTCTGTCTCCTGTCATTTGGGAATTAGCTTAGTTGTCTAAGTCAAGAAGCTTATCTGATACACCTTACCACCCCCTCCCCACTACCAAACTGGCTTACACTCCCAGACCTGGAGTTAGCCAAGCTGCAAGGTTTTAGGGCACAGTCTTCCCCAAGACTTCCCTCACTTCTGACACCAATTAAGTTTGGGGTTTCCTGAACCGCTTTCGGGCTCAATGATTTGCTACAAGGACTCACAGAACTCACTGAAGGCCCTTATACTCACAGGTATAGTTTATTATATGGCAAGGTTATAGGTCAAAATTAGCCAAAGGGCAGAGTGGGAAGGTTCCAAACACAAAGCTTTTCTTGTCCTCAGGATGCGTCCTCCTCCTGGCATCCATGTGTGATAGAGTATTGTCAGCCACGAAGCTCACCTGAACTTTGGTGTCCAGAGTTTTTATTGGCGTTTCATGGTGTGGGTTTGATTGATTGCCTAGCTCCCCAGTTTCCAGACCTGGCTGACATCGCATGGTCAAAGAGTCACCTCATTAACTTAAACTGTCAGGTGTGGCTGAGGAGCCCACTGTGAATAACAAAGACATTCCTATCACTTGGGAAATTTGAAGGGTTTAAGCAGTGGTTCTCAACCTTCCTAATGCCGCAACCCTGTAATACAGTTCATGTTGTGGTGACCCCCAATTTCATTGTTACAAATTGAACATAATTAAAGCATAGTGATTAATCACAAAAACAATATGTAATTATATATGTGTTTTCCGGTGGTCTTAGGCGACCCCTGTGAAAGGGTCATTCGACCCCCAAAGGGGTCGCGACCCACAGGTTGAGAATCGCTGGTTTAGAGATTATCTCTCAGGAGCCAGGGATAAAGGTCAGACCTTTCTTGGGCAAGGCCAGATTCTTTACCATACATCCTTTCCTACAGCAGTTATATGCTTCAGTAGTGCCTGTTTTCTTGCTTGCCCTCATTGGTTATAAACTTCTCAAGGGCAAACTGACAGGCTATGTAATGGAGTCACCAAAAGCCAAGATCTTGGAGTCAGGATGCCTGGGATGTGATCTCAGCTCTGCTTCGTACAGTATTGTGACCTTACTCGGTGCCTCATCTCTAAGATGGTGTGCATGATAATGCCTGCCAGAGGACTGTTTTGAGGATTACAAGTAAATGTGATAATCCATGAGGAGTAGCACAGTGCTTGATACATAATATGAATTCATTAACGCAAACTGTTATAATCACTGCTTATTGTTACATTTCCCGGGTCTTTTATAGAGTGAGGCTTATAGGAAACATTCAGCAAATAGTTGTTGAAAGAATAAGTAAACGAATCCTTTCTTTAGAATGGTTGGTGCCCTTGTGAGTAGCACTGTGCATATGCTCAAACATCTGAGTTCCTAGACTCTGACAATGCGAATAGACTTTTTAGATGTCTACCCTTATTTCTCATTATTTGGAACTAAGTACTAAAGCATATTTGCGTTGGGATTTTTCCATTATGAAGACTTCATGTTTCTCTCTCTCCTATTTCCATGCAGTGGCCAGTTTGGCAAAGCCTGGTACATTTGCTGGCAATGATGCAATTGTAGCCTTTGCAAGAAATCATCAATTGAATGTGGTGATTCATCAACTTAATGCCCCTTTGTGGCAGGTAGGTCACCTATTCAAGAGTTTATCTGGCCCTGGCCAGTTTTGCTAAAGTGGTTAGTGGGTCAGCCCACACACTGAAAGGTCGTGGGTTCAATTCCCAGTGAAGGGCTTGTACCTGGGTTGCAGGTTCAATCCCTGGCCCCAGTTGGGGCGCATGTGGGAGGCAACCAATCTATGTGTCTCTCTCACATCAATGTTTTTTTCTCTCTCTTCTCCCTCCCTCCCTCCCTCCCTCCTTCCCTCCCTCCCTCCCTCCCTCTCTTCTTCTGTCTCTAAAACTCAATGGAAAAAATATCCTTGGGTGAGGATTAACAAAAACAAAACAAGAGTTTATCTGAAGCTCTTCATTATAACTTAGCTTTTGGGATGTCCTAAGACGACGAGGCATGGCCTGTGCTATTGAACAGGGTAACTTGGATTGTGAGCCTAACCAAAGACCAGAAGCGTTTGGTGGCTTGGGATTACCCTGTGCCAAGTTCACATGGAGTCTGGAGTATAATTCAGAAACCTTTCAATGCCCAGAAACATTATTCAACAGTCAGTTAACTGGATAGTTTGGGGCAGAGAGCCTAATGTGGAAATACTGTCTAAAATTCTGTAAAATATCTAAGCGAGGTTTTAAAAGACTAGTACATACAAATTTAGTTTTGAAGTATGCCTAGTCCCTCAGGTATGTTTGTGTTTTTTAGGTGGAAGGACCCAGAGACCAAATGTACTATACTAACCATTATGTTCAGAACAACAAAATTTATTTCATGGCCTAGGACAGTGGTTGGCAAACTGCGGCTTGCGAGTCACATGCGGCTCTTTGGCCCCTTGAGTGTGGCTACGAAGTTTCAATCGCACTGTATGTGTGCACCCACACATGGTATTTTGTGGAAGAGCCACACTCAAGGGGCCGCAGTTTGCCGACCACTGGCCTAGGATGTCAAGCTCCATTTCTCTCTGGTCTGCTCAGCTGTATCTTTGGTCCCAGTGGTTTTCTACAGCAGATGAGATCGTACAGTAAATGTTCAGTTTGTGCTGTGGGATGGAGCCACTGAGTGAACTAGCTGTCCAACTTTCTTTACCTTTGGTTCCCTAAATTAGCCTGGCCTCCCAATCCATCAGACCAAACATTTTGTTTGGAAGGTCAGAGGTTGAGGAGAAAGTATATACAGGCCACCCCCTTGCTCTTCCTCCTTTTGTTCAGAGTGCTTTCTGTACTTTGTAGCTCTCCTCCTGCAGACTGGGTGTGTGATTTCTATCAATCCTCCCTCTCCATTGCTCCTCTGGGTCTAACTTCTTTTTTTAATTAGGTAAAACATACTAAATGTAGACAAATTTGAAAATTCAGAAAAACTAACAAAGGCAAATAAAAATCAGCCAGAGTAACATTCCCTAGAGATTATTACTGTTAACATTTTAGTGTGTATCCCTGTCATTCACATATACTCTTAGCTATAAAAATATTCATATGGAAAGATATGTATCACAGTGTTTTATACACCTTTTAAACATATCTACACACATACAGACATGTCTATGTACACATACACTTACGTATCTCTATATATTATTATAAAGGCAACTGTGGCCTTTTTCTCACTTTTTCATAGACCACCAGCATATATTTTCCTTTGTAAGTTGTTTATTCATAGTCTTTGTTCATTAAAAATAAAGTGGAGTTTATAGAGATATAATTTACATAGAGCAAAATTAACCCTTCTTAGGCATACTTTTTTTTTACAAAATAGTCATGTAACCATCACCACTGACAACACATAGAATAGTTCCATTATCCCCAAAAGTTTCCTCATGCCCTTTTGAGTCACTAGTCCCCTCCCCATGTCCCCAACCCCAGGAGCCACTAATCTGATTGGTCTCTCACAGTTTTGCTTTTCCAGAATGTTATCTAAATGGCTGTATATAGCCTTTGTGTCTGGCATAATGTCCTTTTAATAAAATTAAAGCAAAATAAATGAGATATTCCATGGGTTGGTGAGGGATTTTACTGGGAGGGAAATGATGTGTGTGTGTGTGTGTGTGTGTGTGTGTGTGTGTGTGTGTCCGTCCGTCCTTTGGGGCAGTGTTGTCGGATGTACTGACACCAGGGAGAGATATGTTTTTAGTGAGGTGTTCTCTGAGGATGGTCTGTGAGCCAAGAGTTACCTTCTTCATTGTCCCAGTGTTTTGTCATTAAATTATTACTGTTCAGCAGAAGTCATCAAAATAATTTGAATATACAGCATAGTGACCCACTCTTGCAGGAAAGTACTCCGTGCCAACTCAGTAACCATAGCCTGCTTTTTCTCCATCGATAACTTTATATTAGTTTCTTAATTATCTAAGTCGTGGAAGATAATTCTGCAGAGTTAGAATGTTTAAAAATACATTTCTGTAGAGTTTTCTTTCATGGATTGCTAAACATTGAACGTATATGTTTTTAAAATAAATGTATTTGTTGTATAACGGAACTATCCACTGGCTCTCTCCCCCGCCGCCCATATCCCTTCACCCCAATGAAGCATCTTATGAAATTCAAGAATTGAAATTGTTTTGATTGCTACTGTCATGGGTAAGAACTCTTGCATTGAAATGGGTAGGCTCATACAACAATGGAGATATGGACCCTACATTTCTTTCCTGGTTACAAATGGAATCTATGCTTCTGTGAACAGTATAGATAGGTGTGATGTAGAAAGTGAAAGTCCTCTGTAATCTCCCTACTCATGAAAATTGCAGCCAACTATTTGGTGACCATTCTTCCTATTTTTTTCCTATTCATAATGCGTATGTAGTAGTATTACTTAAATATGTAAGTACTTTAGGATTATGTCATTCAGATATTCTAATAGCGAGTTTCCTTTCCCAGTACTCTCCCTGGGAGATAAATGATGCTGTCTCTATTTCTTATGTGTGAAAAGCAGACCGTCTGTACTTTGAGACCTAAATGGTTTACCTGGAGAAAACTTCACAGTTCTAGCTTCTGGTCACTTGTGGTTCCTGGTTGTTCCATGGTTCTTGCTGTGCTGTTAGACCACAACTGTTAAAATGAGCAGTAGTGCCTGACTTTCAGGAAAAAACAAGAAGGAAGTGCTAACATTTTAGAGTTTTAACAAAGAGGTGGGTACTGCTTTCTAAACAACAGATTCAGAATCACTTTAGAGTTTCTGTCAGGGGGAGTGTTTGGTGGGTACACCCAGGCTGAACCTTATGACATGACTCTGGGGAGTACTGTTCTTGCTGGGGAGTGGCCCAGGGGTGCTGTTCACATAGAATATCTTGTGAGTAGTGCCTCCAGGGCTGTACAAGGAAGTAGTACCACTTGACTTTAAATAATACTGTTTTGAACTTGATGTAAGTGGGAGATTTGAGTTGTTTGTGTTTCTCAGCATGTGGGTAATGGAAAATGCTATTTTTGTTGGAACGACAGGGGCACGTTTATTGTGAAGTAATGAAGCATAAGTGGAAGGCCCCTCATTTTTATGGCCTCCTTTCTAGGTCCTGGGAAGGGCTGTGGCATTTCTCTATTTGTAATCTTGTATGTTTTTTCTCAAAGAGGGCCTCCAAATTGTTGCCCCTTTAAGCCCAGCAATTTGCTGTGCCCGTAGGCCTTCCCTCTTGCAAGGGGCCGTGCATCTAGAGAGGCACTGATGCCCTGAAACTTTAGCCAGTTTAACTTCACTGTGAGTCTTCCCTGGTTGTTGAATGTATGTTTCCATGTGGATTTATTTCCATATAGTTCCACACTAAGCACATTGAGGCATGCATGCATGGACGGGAGAAAGATAAGTCAGAAGTTGCTCTGGGCATACCCAGTCTTATTCCCAAGTCATTTCACATCGAGCCTGTAGACTGGGCTTCCTAGGTAGCATTTCTCTCCATGAGTTGACACCGACCAAATCCTCACTGGCATCTCCTTTCTTTTGCTTCCAGATTCGCGGTACAGATAAAAGCAGCGTGCGGGAGTTACACATCGCATATCGATACGGTGAACACTATGACAGCGTTCGGAGGATCAATGACAACTCGGAAGCTCCTGCTCATCTCCAGACCGATGTGAGTGAGGCCTCCGTGTTCTGTATCCTCAGCTCAGAAGGAACCAGGTTGAGGGCTGGGTGCCTGGAGTTAAAAACCACTGATGTTCTTATGGAAAATTGCCTTTAAGAATCTGTGTGGGTTTGATTTGTTTTTACTTTTTTAGCTCAGGTGAGAGTGACAGATAAAATTACCTGCCATTCTTTTGCTTTCCCTAGTAGCTGATAGTTCTGATTCCATGGATAGATTTTATATAAAAATTTTAAATTACTTTTAGTTTTAAAATTAATCCATGCTTCTGGACCTGGAGATGATTATGCTAAGCGAAATAAGCCAGTTGGAGAAAGACAAGTATCACATGATCTCACTTATATGTGGAATCTAATGAACAAAATAAACTGACAAACAAAATAGGTCCACAGGCATGGATACATGGAACAGAACGACAGATCTCAGGGGTGGGGGCGTGGGGGGGGCGGGACCAGAAGAGATTAACACTACTCTGCTATGAATATCTATGTATAAAGTTGTTTGAGTGCCTGTTTTTAATCTTTTGGGTTTATACTAGGAGTGGACTCGCTGGTCATAAGATAGATAATTCTATGTTAACTCTGTGAGGAACTGCCACCCATTTTCCACAGTGGCTGCACTAGTTTACATTCCCACTAGCCCTGTTCTGAGGGTTCCACTTTTTGCACATCTCCACCAATACTAATTTTTTTCTTTCTTTTTAAAATTACGGGCATCCTGCAGGTGTGAAGCGGTACCTGTGGTTTGGATTTGCATTTCCTTAATGGCGAATGATGTTGAGCATCTTTCCATGTGCTTCTTGACCATTTGTATCTTTGGAGAAATGCCTAGTCAAGTCCTTTGCCCATATTCTAATTGGGTTATTTGTACTTTCGTTGTTGTTGAGTTGTAAGAGTTCTTTATATATTCTGGATATTAGATTCTTATAAAATATATGATTTGTCAGAATTCTTTTTGTTTGTAGTAGTTTTTCTTTTAGATATAGAATTATCATCTGCCAATAGTGATAACTTTTATTCTTCCTTTTTAATTTGATACTTCTAATTTTTTTGGCTAATTGCATTGCCTAATGCCTCCTGTACATTGTTAAATAATGATGGTAGTGGTGTGTTCCTTACTTTAGTGGGCATGAGGCATCATTCTGTGGATTTATCGTGGTTATTTAGCCACACCCACACCATGAAACTGTTAGCTTGTTGTCAGTTATTCACCACTGTTTGGCATTTTGATGAGCACTTTTATGTAAGTCCTTTCTGTGCTTGACATTAGTTCTTCGGATAAATTTCAAAGACTCCTGATACACATTGCCAAATTGTTAGAATATACTTTTATAATGAGTTGCTTTTTATTAGCACTCTATCCGGCACTTACACTTTCACATGCAGAAAATAGAAAGGTCCTTGCCCTTTTCCCGTCTCCTGCATTAATAGCAAGCAGAAGGAGCAGGGACTGAGCAGCTGCAGAGGGATGCTTTTGGCTCTTCTGGTTTAGGCATAGGCTGCAAAGGCTGCATGGATCCTAGGGGACTGCTCTTTGTGGTGTTAGAGTTTGGATTGACAGATTCCTGTGAGTGTGGTGGTGTACACGTGACGTTAGGTGGGCCATGCCACTGTGACTGTCCAGCTGGGACAGGAATTCAGAGCTGGCTGATGAAGGGCCTAGGGAGCCAGCTGAGAGGCGGATGCCTGTTTCTTCGAGACGCGCCGTCCTGCTGCAGGTGCTGGGGCAGAGGATCACTTCTGTTGCTAGGCTCATGCCTCTGGAAATCAGCTGAGAAAAATGTGTGCCATTTGAGTCAGCAGCCATGGCCAAAACGTAGGCATCTGGAAACCGAAGGAGTGCTAATGCCATTCTTACTGAACACTTCCTACCGCATCATGGGCCGTTCTCTCTAATACTTCTATTGTAGACTGGATGAACTATCTGCCGGGGTTCTTGATCCAGCATCTAGAAGGGTTCAGCAATCTGGAGAAGGGCTGTGTGTAACTTAATAAAGAGTCCAGAGACGAAGCATAATTTTGAAAGGCATTTGGGGGTCATTAGCTAAAAGGAACTAAGTTCTCCTCGTCTCAGGACCCCTTGCTTTTTATTAACACAATTTGTCCTAAGGCAAGGTAGAGATATACACATCAAAGGGTAGAGTTTCCATATACACAGTCCACTGTCAGATTATCAGGTTTTGGAGAAACTGCCTTCGGCTGTTCAGGTGTTTGGCCAACAGGGGGCAATAACATGTAGATTGAGATGCCCTTAGCTGTCTGGCAGCAAGCAATCATCCTTTTCAGGTTTGGGGAAATGCCCGTCAACCACTCTAGATTCAGCCCTGCTGTCTGGAATTGGCTTCCGGCACTATCTGGATGAAATTTAGCCTAATCATAGCTTTTAAGATTGTTTCTGGAATTTCCCTCCTATATATGTGAATGTTTTTGATACTAGAGTGTTTTCCTGTGTTGAAGATTCTGAACATAGTTTGCAAGAGTTGCATGGTGATAACTCTGAATATTCCTTTTATAGTTTCAGATACTTCATCAAGATGAATCAAATAAAAGAGAAAAGGTCAAGACAAAGGGAGTCGACTTTGAAGATGACCTGCGAGATGAGGTGGAAGATGCAGTTCAGAAAGTTTGCAATGCGACTGGCTGTTCAGTTAGTATTTCTGTCACGCAGTGGCCCTGGTTTATAAGCAAGCATTGCTGTGTCTAGTTCCCCTGCTAGTTTTGTAGCACCATTAGCATGCCAACACCTGATGGGCCAGAACAGGTCCATATGCTATTTGTAGTTTGATGAGGTGGTGTGATACGACTTAATGAGAGCTGTTCATTCATTTCTCTCCTGTTTGCTAGACTTTACCCAATACTGCTCAAAATCCTAAGGAAGTATGTGGATTTATTTTTTTCCGATTCGTGTTTGTACAAGTAAAAGCATTTTAAAAGGGAATTAATTTATATTGATTGGTTTTTCACAATACCAGCATTATTGAAAATTGACATTTTCTAAATGGAAAAGGTCTTGAAACCTTGTCTTAATCCTCATTATTACATTATTTTGTTTACCAAGTTATTGAAGTAGAGAGAGAGAAAGAGAGGAAAGTGTTCCTAGAGTCTTGAAGTGTTTCTTTGTTTCTTGGATAGGATTTTAATTTGATAGTCCAGAACCTGGAAGCTGAAAATTATAATATTGAATCTGCAATAATTGCCATGCTTCAGATGAACCAGGGGAAAAGAAATAGTAAGTCCATGATTGATATTTATAAGCTTTCAAAATGATTGTATTGGTGATTTTTTATCATTATTGGTGATTTCTCAAATATTGATGTTGAATCAAGTCACAGGTAGTAGTTATTTTGTCCTTTCCCTCACTCATTCAGCACTTTACTAGGTTCTCGTCCTGCATCTGGGAGAGTGTAGTCCGGGGTGGGGATGGGGATGAGGGTGGTGGAGACAGATAAGGAAACTGGCACAGTAATACATAATGGAGTTGCAGGTACAAGGTTCTAGGGGAATGCGTGAAAAGACCACCTAACCCAGTTTTGGAGGGATGGTGGGATGGAGAGTGTCAGGGAAGACTTTATCCTTTTAGAAATAAGATTCCTTCATAAAATCAAAATGATAATTAAAATTGAACGGAGAGAAAAATACCTTATTTTTCTAATGGAAATATTTATATTGCTAACATCTGTCAACTGGTGCTAATTCAGAATTATTTTTACTTGAACTGAGTTTAATTTTGTGACACAGAGGAAAGCAAAAAGATGTGATGTCTTAACTGTTTTCTCAAATCATTTATTTAAAATGATTTCCAGCCTGGCCAGTGTGGTTCAGTGGTTTAGCATTGACCTATGAACAGGAGCTCAGGCACATGCCCAGGTTGTAGGCTTGATCCCAGTGTGGGGTGTGCAGGAGGCAGCCTATCAATGATTCTTTCTCATCGTTGATGTTTCTATCTCTTTCTCCCTCTCCCTTTCAAATCAATAAAAACATATTTAATAAGATGATTTCAAGACTTATTATGTGCCAGATACTGTTCCTGGCATAGTTTTCTATGTGATGGGGCATTTTATTATCCACTTTATATATATGCTGTGCCTTTTTAGAAAGCAATAGATAACTCGGTCTTTGTGACTTTAAAACAGCACTGTTCAGTGTCTGTGCTGTCTAATATGTTGAGTATTTGACATGTGGCTAAGACTGAAGAATTAAATTTTAAATTTAACTTAAATGGTCACATGTAGTTAGTGGCTCCTCTACTGTATGGCGCATCTTTAGAGCCTGTTTTATTTTTGGCTGCAAATAAAAAATTTCCCCCTAAATACTTATATTAAGAAGTGGTTTGTCTAATGAAACAAAATAGTCTGCTGGTGGGAAGCTGATGGCAAGGTTGGCCAGCAGGTAACTTACCTTCCAAATTTTACCAATATTTTCCCCTGTGTTCCCTGCTGTATTGACTTGATATTAGGAAACTTGCTCTCCAAATGACAGTGAACGAGGGACCCAGGTACTCTTGGAGTCATTTAACAAGAATCGAGTTGTGTAACTCTTGGGTTCTCAGTTTTAATAAAATGTCTTTCTTTGGAAGATGCAGAGGAGAACCTCGAGTCCAGTGGCCGAGTGCTGAAGCAGAGTGGTCCTTTATGGGAGGAGGGTGGCAGTGGCTCCAGAATCTTTGGAAATCAGGGCTTAAATGAAGGCAGGACTGAAAACACTAAGGCGCAGGCCAGCCCTAGTGAAGAAAACAAAGCAAATAAAAACCACCTCCCAAAGGTATGGAAGAGGGTTGCAAGGGCAAAGGGTGGGCTGCTGTAATTTGGTGGCAGTGGTGGGAACGTGGAGCTCACTTTAATGTGTCATTTTCTTTCAATTTATAAAGTAGTAATTGTAGGAAATATGGGGAGTGCGTAAAGGTGTAGCAGGAAACGGAATGAAGATCTCGTTTGTCCTGTTTGGTGTATGCAGTGATGATGAAGGAAGTGCATGCTGGAATTGTACTTTGTGGACACATCCAGCCCTTCCCACCTAACGCCACTGTGTGGATGGCTGCTTTCCACGGGAATTCACGCTGTCACATCCCATTTTTATAAATACCGTCATCTGCAGTGAACACTTGCATAGTTTATTTGTATGAATCTGTATTTTGCATTGCTTTCTTGGCTAGAGTCCCAGAAGAGGGCTTGACAGGTTAGGGGGCATGGATATTTGAAAATTTTAAAGGCTTCTTGGTAAATTGTCAAGAAGTTGTACATCTTCCTCCCCCCATGCCCACAGGTAATATATGACACCATTTTAAGGACTTTCACAAGAAGTTCTGAGCTCAGAATGCAGCACTACAGGCAGAGGCAAAAATGCGGAGTGAGTTAGGATCACCTGAGCATTAAACTGCACAGGAAGGTGACCTGTGGCCTGTTTGCGGGTTGTCTCTTGTTGGACCAGGGTTCATGTTTTTAGGTCATTTTGAATTGGTTTATGAGGAGAATGGGATTGATTGTGTTTGCTAGCTCAGCAAGGGGCTATACATTGAAATGGAAATTTGAGCAGTAATGGAAACCACATCATGTTTGGTCTGGTAGGTGGGTTTTCTCTGTTCTGTCTTGTTGAAAGGCGGCTGTGCTCTTTGCCTCTGTCAGCCCCTCACCTCCTTCCGCAGACGCCTCACCCAGCACCTTCTCTTTCAGGTCACAAACAAGCAGCGCCGAGAGCAGCAGCGCTTAGAGAAGAAGAAGCGGCAGGAGGAGCGGCACCGTCTCAAAGCCCTAGAGAGCAGGAGCAGCCACAGGGACAGCGGGAGCGAAGCGGAGGCCAGCGAGCAGGTCACTTTGGTGAAGACCTTCGCTGCTCTCAACATCTGACGCCACTGCCTGCGGGAGTCGTAAGAAGCGAGTGGAAGTGGCGTGCTGTGCCCCGGCTTCCCAGGAGGCGGGCCTTCGGACCACCCACAGAACCCACCCAGGAGCGCACCTCGGAGTTAGTGTCCTCAGGCCGCCTCTTTTTCCGTTTTTGTTAGTGATGTGTTTTATTTTATGAAAGTTCAGTGAAGCCACTCATGTTCTGTGATTAAAAGGTTGAGTTTTAGGGTGGAGAGTAGATCAGGGAAAACCTTTTAGGTATGGTTTGATTTGTTCTGAAAACAAGAGTTCTGTGACCCTGGGATCTTCCCTTAACCTTTGGGGTGAGTTTTACTGAAATTGTTCATGAAGTGGTTTAGATTAATTGTTAGAAATGCAGAATGACAAGTTTCCTTTGATTCTCCTTCATTTTCAAACAGATATGTTAATATACAGGATAGTTTGTAAATGATCTGCAACTCAGGAACGTGTTTAGGTTTATTTTTCTTTTAATCCAAGTTAATCAGAAAATACTTCAGGAAGTGTTCTCCCAAAGTGATATGAGGGAGGGTGTGGCCTGCAGTCCGGGGGGAGTAAACTGCCTCTCTCCTTCCCGACCTGATGTCATTTCAGACGGGATGCAGGTGCTGCTAGTTCCTTTACACTCAAGCCATACGATACATGCGCCTGACTGTTAATTAAGCCTGGGCTTTGCTGCAAAATCGATAGTGTTGTTGAGCTTTTGGTACTTGTTTTTGAAAGATGGGAAGGTAATACAGTTCTGGGATTCTGACAGTATGGAGAGTTGTAAAGGGAGAAATTGAGGGCCCCTTGAGTGTTTGCCTGGGAGGAGTCTAAAGAGTTATTTGACTTGTAGGAGAGAATGCTGGAAGAATATCTAAGGTTTTTCACCTTCACATTGTAATAACTGTTTCCTTCCCCACTTTTCTAGACTTAGCTGCCTTCAGAAAAATAAAAGGTCACTTGGCCTGTTGCTAAGTTTTTTAGTTTTGTGAAAATGGAATCCCATAAAATGCTGCATTGATTTCTCTTTATACATACCCTTTGGGATTCTGACCTTGGCAGAACTCTCCAGCGCCCATCCAGACTGTCAGGGAGTTGGGTGGGACCAGCAGGGCAGAGGGTGTGCTTTGGCTGAGGACTCTGGGTGACTCCGCGGTTCTGAGCGAGACAGATCTGAGCAGTGGAGAGCCGTCATTCGGTGGATGTGAGCTTTAAAACTGACGTCAGAAGTGGCCAGTCTTGGACAGTCTTTGCCTTTGGGGGACCTAATATTTCAACAAATAAGGTATGCTGAATCAAAAGGTGAATTGTTACCTCCCCACCTCAGATCTCAAAGGCCCGAGGCAAGGAAACTATGAGAGAGTACTGACCTGTGTAGGCATATCTCCTGGGCTGGCCCTGGATTCATCCAATTGTCTGTCAGGGTGGTTTGCTTTCTTCAGATTAATGATGTTTTAAATTTTTGCTTTTTTTCTTTGTGGTTGGAGCATCAGTTGTCTCTAGGAATTGCTCCCAGGACATTATGGTTTGGGCATCTTCCTGGAACAATACATCGTAGTACTTAGCAGGCTGCGAGGCTGCACAGTCTTTTCCTTGTACCTTGTGGAGTCCTGAGTATGAGCGCTAGAGCTCAGTGCGCGTGAGGGACGGGTCCCTGCGGCCTCACTGTCCCCACGGGTGAGGTCAGGGCTTTCACCTCTGGGCGGAGTCCTCACTCTAGCTGAGCTGCTCTGAATGGACATTCCTTGTCTGTTGTGTACTACGAGAGTGGGGGAGACCGCATTGTCTCAGAACAGGCAAGATTGTGTGCCACAAATTCAGCAGAATTAGGACTCAAAAATAGCGTTAGGGAGACCCATTGTCCGAAGTGGTGGAATTGCTTTATTTACTTGGTTAATGAAGGTGGCCTTGGGCACTACTGGTCTTTAAAAGTTTTAGAAGCTGCTAAAAAATTATCTATCCTATATAATAAAACCCTAATATGCAAATCGACCAAATGGCAGAATGACCGGTCGCTATGATGTGCACTGACCACCAGGGGGCAGACACTCCACACAGGAGATGCCCCCTACCCCTAGAGGGAGGCGACCAGCGGCAGTCATGGCGATTGGGGGGGTGGGGTGACCAGCTGCTGCGATGGGGCGGTGGGGGTGGGGGCGCCTGACCTGATGTTAGGATGGGGGAATATCTATAGAAGGGTATGCCCTTGAATTAGCAGGACCATAAAATTTAACCCTAATACTACCATTAGCTGGAGAGATTAGAATATTGAGGCTACAAATCTGCAGTTTATTCAGCTTGGTGGCACTGGCCTTTCTACTTTTATATTCCAGTTCAACCACAGCATTTGTAAGATCGAGGTGGTGGGGAGCAAATGCCCTTCCCGCTGGACGCAGGGACTTGAGTGCTAGCCTCATGTGCATCCCCAGGTCGCTGGCAGACGCCGCCGTGACCAGGGGCCGTAACCAGGGGATGGGCTGGCTGAGGAGTGGGCTCTTCCTCCCCATGCAGCCACCAGGGCTGCGAGCCACAGAGACTGGAAGTGCACCCCTGTGGCCTTCCGCTTGTGACTCCTCCCGAGGCCCTGTCTGCCCTGCCCTGCGCTCATGGGCAGCTAATTGGTCCCCCCAACCTCCCACGGCCCCTCCCCCTGGCTGGCCCTGCCCTCAGTTGGGCCCCCCCACTCCAGACCCTGACATCTCCTGAGGGGTCCTGGATTGTGAGTGACTATGACATCTAATCTAATAAAAGAGAAACATGGTAATTAGCGTACGACTGCTACCCTTCCCATTGGCTAATTAGCAAGATATGCAAATTAATCACCAGCCAAGATGGTGGTTAACCGCCAACAAAGATGGCGGTTAATTTGCATATGTAGGCACAATGCAGGGAGGCGAAAGGGAAAGCACGGAAGAAGCCCCCTGCCACTGACAGTGATCGGAAACCCAGGGGGGGAGCTAAGAGCCGGGGGGCAGGGCAAAGGCGGCCTTTGCCCCCAGGGCCGCCTTTGCCCTGCCCCCAGCCATGATGTAGAATTGGGTGCCTTTGCAGCACTGGCCAGTGATAGCGGGAAGTAGGGGTGGAGCCAGTGATGGGAGCTGGGCAGGGGCTGAGCCCGCGATCGCGGGGCAGCTGCAGCTGGAGGGGTCTCCTGCCCAGGCCTAATGCCTCGGCCAGAGGCGTTCGGCCCGGGCAGGGGCGGTGCCAGCGATCACGGGGTGGCTGCAGCTGGGCAGGGGCAGTGCCAGCGATCACAGGGCGGCTGCAGCTGGGGGGGTCCCTGCCCAGGCCTAATGCCTCGACCAGAGGCGTTAGGCCCGGGCAGGGGCGGCTGCAGCTGCAGGTCGCCGCTGCCCGGGCCTAACGCCTTGGCCAGAGGCATTAGGCCCGGGCAGGGGCAGAGCCCACGATCGCGGGGCGGCTGCAGCTGGAGGGGTCCCCTGCCCAGGCCTAATGCCTCAGCCAGAGGCGTTAGGCCTGGTCAGGGGCGGTGCCAGCGATCAGCTTGGGGTCCCCTGCCCAGGCCTAATGCCTTGGCCACAGGTGTTAGGCCTGGGAAGGGGTGGAGCAGGAGGTCCAGGTCCCCTGCCCAGGCCTAATGCCTGGGTGAGAAGCATTAGGGCGGAGCCGTCAATCGCAGGGAGCAGGGGCCGAGTTGGCAATGGTGGGGTGCTGGGGGTCCCTTTCCCAGGCCTAATGCCTTGGCCAGAGGTGTTAGGCCTGAGCATGGGCAGAGCCAGCGATCGTGAGCAGGGGCGGCGTGGGTGATCATAGGGAGCTGGGGGTCCCCTGCCCACCCTGATCCGGGACACCCTTCAGGGCAAACCAGCTGGCTCCCACCCGTGCACCAGGCTTCTATGCTATATAATAAAAGGGTTATGTGCACATGCAATTCTTTTTTCCAAATATATTTTATTGATTTTTTACAGAGAGGAAGGGAGAGGGATAGAGAGTTGGAAACATCGATGAGAGCGAAACTTCGATCAGCTGCCTCCTGCACACTTCCTACTGGGGATGTGTACGCAACCAGAGTACATGCCCTTGATGAGAATCGAACCTGGGACCCTTCAGTCCGTAGGCCGACGCTCTATCCACTGAGCCAAACCCGTTAGGGTGGTAATGTGCAAATTGACTCTAACAGCAGAACGACTGGGAATGACTGGTCACTGTGACACACACTGACCACCAGGGGGCAGATGCTCAATGCAGGAGCTGCCCCCTGGTAGTCAGTGCACTCCCACAGGGGGAGCTCTGCTCAGCCACAAGCCAGGCTGATGGCATCACAGTGGCGATGGTGGGAGCCTCTCCTGCCTCCTCAGCAGCTCTATGGATGTTCAACTGCAGCTTCAGCCCGCTGGCAAGTGGACATCCCCCAAGGGATGTATCACTGCCAGCTTAGGCACAATCCCCTGGGGAGCAGGCCTAAGCCAGCAGGTGGACATCCCCCGAGGGGTCCCAGACTGCAAGAGGGCACAGGCTGGGCTGAGGGACCCCCGAGTGCACAAATTTTTGTGCACCGGGCCTCTAGTCCTATCTAATAAAAGACAAAAAGGGTAATTGACCGTACCTTCGCTACGCTTCCCATTGGCTAATCGGCGATATGCAAATTACTGCCAACAAAGATGGCGGCTAATGCTAGGCTCCAAGTGGTGGAGCAAAGCCAAACGGCCCCGAAGCCTGCCGAGCAGCGAGGCCTCATGGCCCTGGGATCAGCGGAGCTGGGAGGCCTCGCGGCCCCAGGATAGGCGGAGCCGGGAGGCCTCACAGCCCCAGTGCCAAGCTGAGCCGCAAGGCCTCATGGCCCTGGGATCAGCGGAGCCATGAGGCCTGACGGCTGGGGGTGTGGGGCTCTGGCCAGAGCCTAGCCAGAGTGAAAGCCTGGGTCCCGAGTGCCAGAGGAAAACTGGTGCCAGCAGCCAAGGGAAGGGAAGGCCTATTGCACGAATTTCTGTGCAACAGGCCTCTAGTCTACACTAATAAAAGAGAAACATGCAAATTGGTGTCACTCTGCTATGCCCACCAGCCAATCAGGATGAGTATGCAAATTAACCCAACAAAGATGGCAATTAATTTGCATATGCAGGCCTGGAGCGAAGACTGAAGATGACTGAAGACTGAAGAAGACTGAAGAGGCTTGGCTTCTCCGCTGCAGCCGGAGCGGAGAAGCCCAAGCCTCACTGCAGCCGGAGCGGAGAAGCCTAGCCTCGCTGCTGCGGGCCAAGTGGAGAAGCCAAGCCTCCCTGCTGCGGCTCGAGCAGAGAAGCCTAGCCTCGCTGCTGCGGCCGGACCAAAGGCCTGGGTCCCGGGTGCTGGAGGGAAACAGGTGCCGGCAGTCAAGGGAAGGAAGGCCTATTGCGCAAATCTTCGTGCAGCGGGCCTCTAGTCTCTATATATAAAGAGCCAGGGTCCATAACGTCCAAAATGACCAAAGGGACAACCAAACGCCAGGCTGCATACACAGCAGGCTCGGGTGGGCAGGGACTGGTGAGCGGGCTGAACTGCTGACCTCTCGATCCCTACCCCCTGCCTCCCGTGGACTGCCAAGGGGACTGTGGGCCCTGGGATGCCACGGTGGGAGGGGGCTGTGGGCCCCAGCTGGGGCACGGTGGAACTCTGTGTCTTGTGCGGTGGGGGTCGTGGCTGGCCTTCAAACCTGACCCTGACAGGAGGGAGGAGGGAGCCCCATTCCTCGCAGAATTGGCTGTGAGCCAAGAATCCCATTCACCCCGGTGATCAGGCAGGCAGAGGCAGTTAGGGGTAATTAGGCCGGCATGGGAGAGCAGTTAGGGATGAGATCAGGCCGGCAGGGGAGGGCAGTTAGGGGCAATCAAGCAGGCAGGCAGAGGCAGTCAGGGGTGATCAGGCAGGCAGGCAGGTGAGCAGTTAGGAGCCAGCGGTCCCAGATTGCGAGAGGGATGTCTGACTGCCAGTGGGATTGGGCCTAAACCGGCAGTCAGACCTCCCCCAAGGGTCCCTGTTTGGAGAGGGTACAGGCTGGGCTGAGGGAAACACCCACCCCTCCCCCCCCCCCACCCTCCCGTGCACAAATTTCGTGCACTGGGCCACTAATCCTATATAATAAAAGGCCAGGGGCCACAGTGTAATGACGAATGACCGCTCAACCAGTCGCCATAAGGTGCATTGACCACCTCTCGGTCCCTCCCCCCCGCAAGCGGGGTGGCTAACAGTGAGCAGTGGCGAGGCGGGACTGGGGACTGGCGAGCGGGCTGAATGGCTGACCTCTTGGTCCCTCCCTCCGGCCCTCAGGCTCTGATGGATCAGCGATGGTGAACAGGGGAATCAGGGTGGGTGGCGGGAGCACCAGGCTAGCTGTCAGGCCGTTGGGATCCCTACCTCTTCCCCGGCTGTGACTTCCCCTCCATGCGTGTGCGCTGTGTCGGCCACTGATGGAATGCGCTGCCTGCTCGGGGCCGCTCATGCTGCCGCTGCTGCTGGGGCTTGTGGCACTGACGAAAGCTGCGGGGCGCGCCCGCAACCTACCTGCCCCGGTGGCGGAGGCGGTGTTCGGTCTGGGGACTGGCAAATGGGCAGAAGATGGCCCTGATCGCAGGCTAGGCCTAGGGAACCTGCCCACACGATTTCGTGTGCTGAGCCTCTAGTAGCTTGTAAACTGCTACATCCCACACACAGTTAAACAAGAAAGGTGGCTTCTGCAGTATTTGAAGAGAGATCTGTGGCTGCTTAATCCTAATTCATCAGAAGAACCTCCAAACTGCCCACATCCTGTTTATTCTACATGGGGATGAACATGCATTCCTGTATATTGGGAACAGTCTCTTTGATTTAAAAATCAAAACCTGGCAAGGCTACTCTAACACTGAAGAAACAGGATGATGCAGTGATGACATGCATGGCATTTTGTGGATAGTCCTGATTCTGACACTTAAAACTGTGTGACAAAGCCAATTAACTTCTCTCTGCTTCAGTTTTTCCACCCATAAGATGGGGAAAATGGTACTACTGCCTCAGAA